CCTAAGCATCCTCAAAATACTGAAACACTGACAGAAGCTCTCTCCTCAGCTGTTTAGCATTGGAGAATGTACATGGCTTAAGTAAGCTCAGAAATTATCTAGCTTGTCTCAGGCTGATATTGSTATGTAGACTGGCTGAAAGCTCTCTGTAGGGACAGACCCCAAAGCCAGCTCCCAAATGAGGGAGCCTGGAYGAACCAGTCCTATCTGAAAGCAGGGCTGAGGGTGTCCACAGTAACCTCCCCAGTCTGATCCAACCTACACTATTAACTCACCTCAACCAAATCACATGGAAGAAGAGAAAAATATTCTATATTCTTCCTTTCAGTATTAATTTTAAAATGTAAGGAACCTGGAAGGGACATAAACTCTGAARCATCTGGTTCTGTGTCACCTCAAAAAAGACAACAGTTTGAGGCCTGATCTGAAGCACCATGGCAATATCTTAGGACTACTGTAACTCCTTCCTTATGGGATGCTGAGAAAGCCGTGTTTATCTGAGGTAGATCCCCATTTACAGTCATGATAACTTTCCTCATGGACTGTGAGGCAGACTAAGGGCTCTTGGTCAGTTCTAGCTACTCACCAAACTGTTGTCCCTGAAAGATGAATGTGACTTGTGGGGGAAGGGAGCTGCCTTGAGGAGGATAAGGCAGAGATAAGCACTTTAGAGATGAGCAGTCTTTTACAGCCACGTTGTTGGTGCTCTGGTGAAGCTTCAGGCTCTTGAGGCYTTCCTCCAGCTCCGTGATCTCCTCATCTGGCAGGCGGTCAGGCTGGAATGCAAACAGCATCAGTGACTCTGCCAGGGCCACCACCTTGCAAAGCTGTAGATGCTGGTGTCAAGAGAGGAGCAATGACATGTAGCATGAACCGTCAACCAGGCAGATGAGATGGTCAAATGGAGCTCTGGTTGGAAATATGTGGATTTGAGTCTGTAATGGGATATGAAATAGGCAGTCTCCCCCTCGTGGGTTTCTCACCTGCAGCAATAGTGTTTATATGTTGCACAAAACTGCTGCAAGCCCACTGCTGCTAGTTCATTTCCAGCAGCCCTCARCTAGAAATAGGGTGCACTGCAAGCAGCAGCGGCTTCTCCCAACTCCATATGAGGGTCAGACCCACAGAACAAGGTGACCTGATCCAACAGCTCATGGCCACCAAAGCAGGCAGCTCCTGTTAATCACCTTCTGTCTCTCTCTGCCTCTCTATTCCCTAAGGTTTGCTGTTCGCTGGGTCCTTGCCAAGCCAGTTTTTCTCATTGGCCAAGTGAAAACTGGTCTAACCTCCAAAAAGCAGGTAATGAGAAAAGGAGTAAAGAAAACAAAGCACMTGGGAAGAGTCACACCTGGCAGTGCTGTGACTCAGAGCTAAACACTGGTTCAGCTCCMATAGAGCAGGTACCCAGCCCTGCTCTCAGCTGCTGATAGCTGTGCCCCAGTRCCATCTTTCTGCCTCTGTTGCACTGTTAGGCAGGGTCAGACTGAGGCACTTTTGGGGAACTCAGAATAAGCCCATTTCTTTTGTCCAATCAGCTAGTTCAGCAAAGGGARGGAGCAGCAAGCCAAAGTTCACAGGGTATGGGATATCACATGTTGTTTGGTCTGGGCATGAAAGGTCTGAGTTTCATTCTGTGCGCTTGCAGAAAAGCAACCTAGCAAAACATGCTCTTGTGCCTAATAATCCTGAGTAGATAGTGAGTGCCTATTTCTCAGGACCATTTAAGGGAACCAGAGCTAAAGTTCCAGAAAAAAAAAAAAAGAGGAGGGGAAGAAGGCTGCAAGTTTAATCATGTCAAGTACCTTGCAGTGAGATTACAAGATCTCACTGTTCTTGCAAGCAGGATTAGAGTGCCAATGCCAAAGTGTGCAATAAGCCAGATGTCAGATGAGAAAGAAAGAGACTTTGCCTTYCAAAGGACAGCCTACTCTTGCTGGCAGCAGATGCTGTGTCCCCACTGCGACACAAGCTGGTGTGATGTGCAGTGTTTGCCCTCACTTCCATTGCTCATTTCCAGGTGTAGTTACCTTTGCTACTCTTGGAGRAGGTGGTGTGTGAGGTGGGGGAGGGAGATGCAGAGCAGTAATGGTTTCACACGAAACTGCTGTCCCCTGCCTGCCTCACAGCTATATTGAGGCACATTTGTGCCCTCAGCTGCACTGTCTAGAATTCCTTGTCCTAGTGGAGATGACAGTCACACTAGTTATTACACACAAAAGCCACAGTGAGTTGTAGCATCTTTGTAGGCTGCTTTAGGTAACTCTACTGCCCTTCCAGAGAAGGGCACAGCTTCTTTCTGAGGAAGGGCGGAGCTATTTCTCCACCTTAGAGTCAAGGGCTGATGGACGCAGAAGTTTGTTAACCCAATATGCTGCATCAGAACAAGATCTGCACCCACCTTACAAGCCCTGTGCCACCACTCCCCATTGCTGCCCAGTGTCCCTTCCTCTCCCACGCACCTTTTCTCTGTATATGCACTCCAGACAATGATCCTCATCTTTCAGAATCTTGTCAAGGTGCTCACTGCCAGCCTTCAGCTCCACTTCAAGAGGCACCRTGGTCGTGGCCAAGTAGAGCTGGAGGCGACTCTGGAGGGATTTCTGGAGTGCTCCTTCCCGGTAACTCCGCAGGAACCGGCGACAGTTCTCCTGCTTGCAGAACTTGAGCTGGACTATCAGGTGTGGGTGGCTGCAGTGCACTTTGAGCATGTGCACACCATTCTCGCTGCCGGTGGAGTCTGGCAGGGAGAAGTGAGCACAGTCACAATCCAGGCATGAGACAGCCCACCCAGACCCACTCCCATCCACAACAAGCCTACAATGGAGCAGCTTTTGAATTCTCTTTGTGGTAAAGTCCTCTGGGATGGAAAACCTGTATGTAAAACCAAGAGGGAAGGATTAAGTTTATGCTGCCCTGACACCACTGATCTCTATGAAGTATGGTGTCCAACTGAAGGTGTATGGAACTACATCCCAGGTAAGTACAACACTGTTTATTAGGGGAAGTTTTAAATTTGGGGTTCCATTTCCAGGRCAGACATGGTTATGCTAAACTGGTAGCACTGCAAAGTTTTAGAAATGAAAGCTTAGTTCAGCTCAGTGCTCAAGTCAGCCTTCATTCCTTCTGACTGCAGTTTTATCCAGTGATGAAGGTCCTGGAAGGAGACCCAGTGTTTCTTCTCCAGCCCATGCCTTGAGGTAACTTCTGTCTCACTGAGCCATTAACACATCTCACAAATGGCAAATGACAGATCCAGCCCTAGGGATTAAGCTGCTTGAGATTGGGCCTTGACTAGTTAAACTCTTTTACACAGAGAATTAATTAATGGTAAAATCTAAGGCAGGAGAAGCCAGGGATGTACACTCTAACATTACTGTAGGAGGAGCACTACACACTACATCCAAACGATGTGGAAACAGAAATTGCCAGGACTTCATTCTTCTTTCTCCTGGCAAAATTTRGTTTTTATTAGCTGTGCTCATTGTCCTTGTCTCCACCGGGAGATGCTGATGATGACATTTCAAAGTATGTGTTTTGTCTCTTTTTGCAGCAGAAGCCCATGGGAGGCTGCTGTAGTGCTTCCAGACCTGACTGAACCTCTTGGGCTTTCATTGCACAGGGCTGTATGGAGGCACCAGCTCACATTGGCACTACCTTAGGTATTTCTAAACCACATGTCATGGCATGGAGAACAATCCCAAGGCAAGGCTCTACATTAAGYAGGACAAGTGGCCTGGCATTTAGAAGTACAGCATCTAACAATGGCTTTACATGTTTAGTGAGTCCTGGTTGCATGTGTTCCAGTTTGGACCAGATGTGTAACTGTCACATGGGCTTARGCCCCTAGAAAAGGCATAATTCACTGTGGATGACTAAGAATGTCTTTTTATCACTTCCCTCACACTTTGCTTTTCAYGAGTGCTTATTAAACAAAATTTCTGTAACAGGGCAAGAGGCCTGAGGAGGGAAAGCTTTACAGACATGGAAATCTTTACAAATAACAGCTGTAAAGCTGCCTCAAAAGATGAGACTTTGCATGCATTTCTGTGTGAAACCTCAGACAGCTTCAGATTTCAAGCCTTTTTCAGGTCTGAATAAGCATGGTAGGATTGCATTTATTGAACTTTCCTTTAAATGTGTGAGCAGATTCACATTCCAGCACCACAAGGCAGCCATAAATCAAGCCTAATTGGACAATTGCATTAGGCTTCCTGTTTCCCATATCTTGATCAAGCTGCAAGTCAAGCAGGTCTGTGTTGGAAAAATTATCTGACATGGCATGATTTTCCAGAAGAAACTGCAGAATAGTTAGAGAACCAAATTAAACAATATAGACTCATCTGTGTGACAGGTAAAGAACACCATGAGAGTCATTCTAGGTAGGTGTGATAAACTCTTCAAGTTACTATCATCTTGCAGTGTGCTTCGTGCAAGGGTGGATAGAGAAATACTTACTTTCATGGCCATTTGCATCCCAAGTCCTTTTTTGACTTAAATAGGGTTACACAAACCTCAAGCTAATGTAAGTGTGCCTGTTTACATCAGAAATTAATTTATACTACTTATTACTTAATTTAAAACCACCTTATCAAAGCAGAAATCATGTTTCTGTGGTGTTAYAAAGACAGCAATTAAATCTTTCATAGCAATTGCAATCTTCTCCCCTCTTACATAAATGGGTTTAAACCAACATTCATAAAATTGGATAATTCATAGGTTAGTTCAAGTTGGAAGGAAGCCCAGGCAGTGTCCRGCTCTCATGCAAAGCAGGGTCAGCTCAGAGGTCAGAGCAAGTTGCTCAGGGCTTTATCCAGTCCCATTTTGAAAGCCCTTAAGGATGGAGAATACACAGTCACTCTGAGCAACTACCTGACTGTCTTAATGGGGAAAATGTTTCTCCTTTAATCTGGTGTCTACCTCTCCTTTGAGTTTGTGCCTGGTGCCTCTCATTCCCCATGCACTACCACCATGTGTTTCCATCTCTCCCTCTCCACAGGTATCAGCAGGCTGCTGGTAGGTGCCCTGAAATCTTCCCCAGGCTCAACAGGTCCACTCCCTCAGCCWCYCCTCACATRACAAGTGCTCCATCCCCCARCCATCTTGGTGAACCTCTGCTGAGCTTGCTGCACTTTATCCTCTTTCCTAAACAGTGTGAGCATGAGCTTTTCTTACCGATGAGTGTGAGATTAAAGAAAGGCGTGGCATTGCACACCAAGATAGCAGAGAGGATGGGTACCTGCTAATGCCATCTTCAGGGCCTTGAACACAAAAGTCTTCTGGGAGCTCTCGTAGAGGGACGGCAGAGTGATGGTCTTGCACTTTGACTGGAGGAAGAGATAAGCACTGCCAATCCAAGGAGCCGAGCTGCCTGCCATCTTCAGCACCCTACAAAATCACACAGGCAAGCTGAGAGACCACAGGGGAAATGGCCCGATGCCAGGGGAGGGCTACAGCACAAGCATAACAGAGTTATGTGGATTTTCTTAGAGGAATTGCTAAAGCAAATGTAACCTTTGAGGGGTTTACTATTACTCTGTAAAGCACAGCAGAGTGGGATATGTATCCCAAAGTGGCTAATGAAGCTTTGCTTTCATTTTCCGTTGGAGTCCATTCATTTTACAGTGCAAAGATACCCTAAAGCAGTTTCAATCCTTGTGCCTCTGACCAGTCAAGCTGGCAAAGTGTGAGATGCATARCTGAGGAGCTCCAGGGAGCACCCAGCAGTCCTGGTTCTGGCACATTCCCATGGACCGAAGCCCTACGTCAGCCAGAAGTGTTTTCCTCAAGATCCTGATCCCCTGGTTGTCCTCAGGGCCCAGAGCCCTTGTAGCAGGACACTCTACACAGTCAGGACAAGGGATAATGGTTTCAAAGTAAAAGAGGGTAGATTTAGATTTGATATAAGGAAGAAATTTTTTACAGTGAGGGTGGTGAGGCATTGACACAGGTTACACAGAGAGGTGGTGGATGCCCTATCCCTGAAAATATTCAAGGCCAGGTTAGATGGGGTTCTGAGCAACCTGATCTAGTTGACTTCTCCCTGTCACCAGAGAAGAGTTGGTCTAGATAGCCTTGGAAAGGTCCCTTCCAACGCAAACCACTCCATGATTCTATGACTCGGGGGTACCCCTTTGCYTTGTTTACACCCTTTGTTCCTGTGCCCCTGCACTGTTAACCCAGCGGGTCAGTCGTCCCGCCCAGTGAGCGATACCCCATCCCAGGCCCTGCTCGGCGGTCAAACCGCTGTGGGGAGCTTTAAAAAGCCAGCCCCGGACAGTAAGTCACGTTAGCGATCATGGCTGTTGCCTTTTTCCCTGGCTTCTGGCAGGCGTCAGGCCGCTGCTGCTCAGTTCCCGTCACAGCCTCGCTGGGAGGGGGCTGTCCCAAAGGGAAAAGCGCTGGAGCAGCCGCCAGCCCCGTCCCGCCGCGCTGTGCCGCCCGTGGGGACAGCGGCTGCTCCCGCTGCCCGGGTGTCCCCTCAGCGCGAGTGTCCCCTCAACTCGGGTGTCCCCTCGCCCCGAGTATCCCCTCAGCCCGACTGTCCCCTCAGCGCGGGTGTCCCCTCGGTGCCCGACTGTCCGCTCAGCCCGGGTGTCCCCTCGGCCCGGGTGTCCCCTCGGTGCCCGACTGTCCGCTCAGCCCGGGTGTCCCCTCGGCCCGGGTGTCCCCTCAGCGCGAGTGTCCCCTCAGCTCGGGTGTCCCCTCGCCCCGAGTATCCCCTCAGCCCGACTGTCCCCTCAGCGCGGGTTTCTCCTCAGCCCGACTGTCCCCCTCAGCCCAGCCCGGCTCTGCGCTGTCCCGTCGGRGCCGCCCAGCCCCGGTCCCGGTCCCGCTCCCCCGGCCCAAGCCCGCAGCAGCCCCGGCCTGGGGCGGCTTTACCTCCTCACCGCCGGCCTCGGCTCCGACACTTCCGCCCCAGCGCGGCGCCGCCCGCTCCTCTCTCCGGGCCCGCCGGCGGCTCCGCTCGGCCCCGCGCTGCGGGCGGGGAAACGGGAAGGCGAAAGTAATCCCGACAACCCCGCGGAATGGCCAGCGGCATCGCACTTCCCTTCAATCCCTTCTGTTTGTCCCGGCGTGCCCGAGCCGGTGCYGGCCCCAGGGGCTGCTGTGGGGGAGCCCCGGCCGGGGCTCGTTGGGCCTCGACGCCTCCAGCCAGCGCGGCCGCTTGGTCTCTCGTGTAGGTGAGGATAAGTCAGATAAGTCAGCTGTCAGGAACACGCTGTTCAGGCGGCTCCAGAGCTGCCCGAGGGCTCGGACCGGGTATACAGCCCTGGACCATCAGGGATGGAGGCAATGCRGTGGCTTGAAGCCCCTGCATGGCTSGTGGCTGAGGCTGGTGGGTCCAGCTGGGACTTGTCAGATTTCCCCCGTGGTGCTGCTAATGAGAGCTTGGACATGTAGAGAGGATGAAGCAGCGTTTCCCGAGTCCGCGAGGGGCTTTCTGCCACGCAAAGCATGGCATGATTTGGGTCTCCATCACTCAACCTCAGCTAGCAGCCTCCTGCCCAGGCTGCATCTGCCTTGCATAGGTGCCCTGTGAGCTGAAGGATAACAGCAGCTCCCTTCTTTGTCCCCAGCTGGTGAGAAGCTGGCATGGGCTTGGGGCCAGATTTTTTGCCCACGTGCAAGCTGCTGTGACTCTCGCTTGGCAATGGTTTGTGCAAACTCACTGGGGAGCTGAGCTTCAAAAAAAAAAAAAAGCAGGAAGCATTTTAAAGCGCTAAAAATACATGTATATCTGATGGTATTTTAGAGCAGTATTTTAATAATATCAACTTAATTTGTTTGCCAAAGAGAAAACATGATTCAAACAGAACTGTAAAGGGGTTAATGTGGATCTCCTGAACGCTCTGGTTCACAGGGTCAGATCCAGGAGCACATGCAACACTCAGAGACCCCTTCAGGAGCAGCAGGCCTGGAGSTGCCAGTGCTTCTGGAAACAAAGCATTTGCTTGCTAACAGTTTCAGCAAGTGTGTTCATTCATTTAAAGTCTGATGGGGTTAAATGAGCCTGGACATCCCAACATTTTGCTGCAGAAACCAAACCTGAAGCAGTGCTGGCTGCCAGAACCAGCTGGGAACCACAGCATGAGTTGCTGTGGGGAGCATCACCCACTCATGTCCTGTAAATGTTTTTTTCCTTGTGTATTGTGGGGGCAAGAAAGGAACGGGTAGGTGAGCCCCAAGTTTCTCCTCTGCTACCCCTTGCTGAGTGTGTTCTTTCTGGGAGCATCCCATGGGGAGAAATTAAAGTGCTTGGTGAGCACTTGGAGCTTCATCTTGTYTCCCACTTGGGAAATGAAAAATGGCAGTGATCCTTCTTAATGGCTCTAAAGGCTTTAAAGAAATCATAAACTGAAAGGAGCTGATACATGAGATCTCATTTTGCCTTAACCTTTTGGCAGATGTGTATTAGAGACAGTATCAAAAGCAGCTAAAAGTAGAAAAGCAGTGTCCAGACTGCCAAGGTGACTGTCAGAGAAAATGTCAAGAGATGCTGAGCTCCCAGGAAGGAARCAGGACGGTGTCACTTGGCTGCTGTAGCCGGGCTGGGTGGGAAGGGGGTTGTCGCTGATAGGATGGTAGATAAGATAGCACAGCAGCTGTGCTGCTGCCACCTCAAAGTAACAAGTCACGCTTCAAAGCAGCACATTCTAGGAAAATGTGCACTTGTGTTTCCCTCTGTGTTACGCTTTTTGCATTGCTACTCCATGCTTCCTTCGTGGTTTCCAACTCTGACCCTACTTTAAAGCTCCTTGATACGCAGGTTTTCATTTCAATGAAAACTGCTCTGCTGAGGTAATGCTGTGACTCTGGGACCTGGGGCTTCCACAGTGACYGGGCATGCTGTGAAATTCAGAGTGCTGGCCTGGGGAGGGGAATGTTTGTTTTTAAAAATCTCTTGCTTGGTTATGAGAGGGCTGAAAAAACATGCCGCGGTGGCAGTTCTGTTTGTGCACAAATGTAGAAGAGGGGTGAAGCACAGTTTGGAAGAAAGTGAATGCAAAAGTTAGCTAATGGTCTGCTCCTCTAAACCTTCTTTCCAGGCACTTGTTCTTCTGCATTATAATTCACAGGAAAGGCTGGTCAAAACTTACTTCTCTCTTATTAAATCARACATTATAAATGCATTTTCTCCTGACTGGGGTCACGGTCATAAAAGGTGTTAGTCCCAGACTACATCTCATCACAGACAAGGACCACTGTCATTAGGCTGCTGGTTTCTACTCTAGGCCTTCTGTTGCACTATCAGTAAAAAATGGATATGTGAGGCTGTTTTCTGTGCAGAGCTTCTGCTTGCAAAGAGGTTTTTTTCCCCCACAGTTTGAGAAATCTGTCTCAGCTTTTTGAATACCAGTGCAGCAGTACCAGAAAATTCCCTTGCATTTTTTATTACTCAGGGTAGCAAAACCTCACTGTGGGAAAAAAGGGCCCTTTTTCCCCAAACAGCTTTGATCTGACATTTCTAACTCTTGAAAAGTATTACTCAGCTTCTTAGGGTTGATTGGAAAAACTGTGAAACAACTTGCCAAGAGATTTTCCTGATTTTTTTTGTGTTCAAATTCAAAATATGGTGACATTTCAAGTTCTAGTATTTTTTAACCTCCTCTCTAGTCTCTAGTCCAGTTTGATTTGTTAATTAAAGCCTAATGTGTGTCTGTGGGAGACACATTGTTATTGTTTTGTTTCTCTCAACAGGGACTCTTGAGAATTAATTGCAGTTTTGGAAGTTTTTCTGTGTTTAAACCTGACTGAATTGACACACGTCTGCTCTGGTTCCAGAACTATGGTATTACATCCCAGAAGAAATCCTTGTCTGAATATTCTATTACCTTTCTCTTTGAGGTAGAATCTTCCAGGTGTGCAGACGAGGGGCTGCAGCTGTTTCTTCCAGCTCTGTTTGGCTCTTCCCAGAGCTCAGATAAGAGGAATGGGGTTTACTGCACTCTGCTGTGGCACTATTGACATTGTGATTTCTATGTGTGATGATGTTATCTTGCATGACTAGCACCTGTTWTATAAAATTTATGTTACTTGCTGGGTTTTTTTTTAGTCTGATGGTCATTTGGGTTTTAGGGGAAATACCACATGGTTGGGTACATTGTTCTAAGTTGCCCTTTGAAAATGGCAAGGAAAAAGTTACTGCATTGTTATCCTTATCTTGACACTTTCTTATCTTAATGGTCTCATCTCACCTCCGGACTCTTTCAGTGTTTGGCCCTTAAGGACTATGTAGGCATCAGGTGAAAGCTCTGTTTCATTTTTTGGCAGGAATGTTGAGCTTAGCCTTTGCAAGTTTTTGTTTAGGACCTCAGGAAAATTTAATATTGATTTTACATTTTRTTATGTTATTTGAAGAGCAGTTTCTGCGTTGAAATGATCCTGGCATTGTGAGCATGTATTTAGAGCTATCTAAAGCATTTATATTAATGATAAAAGCATATTATMTACTAGATTCTATGTGTAGCTGTTTTTAGCATCCTATTTTCTCATTCTCATAGCAAGAGCTAAATAATTTCTTTTGACAACATAGGATCTGTAACTAGATCTGCTTACAGTTTTGACTTTTCAGAGCCTTGCTGAAGAGGTGCAGCCCTGAGGTCTGGCCAGCTCTTGTTCATCTGTGTCGGACAAAGTTTAGGACAATAAAGTTCCAAAATAACGATTCAGGTRCCTTCACAAACCCGGGATTGCTGTGCCTGGGTGTCCCACAGCCTCTGGGCAGGTGGGTTTGCTCTGGTGACTTACTCACCTCCCAGCATAAGGTGGGCAGCACGTGTTCCCTTTGCATGACGCTGCGCATTTATTCACAGCTCTGCGAGATTGGCTGCAGTGCATTTTCATTCTGTGTATTGTTCTCTGGGGCTGGTGATGCCATCGCATTGTGCTGAGTTTTTAAGAGTGCGAGCAGCACTGCTGATGTGACTCCCTGGACGCCTACTTTCCACTGGCCTGGGATAAAATTGGGTGGTTCATTCTGTGCGGGACGCAGGCGCGTGCAGGGAAGCAGGCGCGCCCAGAGCGATGGGGTTAGTGTAGCTGGGACACTGCAAAACTATGCAGGATTCACCCAGCTCTCTGGTGATGGATGGATACTCCAGCAATGTCCCAGCCTTCCTGACAAAACTCTGGACGCTGGTGGAAGATCCTGAAACGAACCATCTCATCTGCTGGAGTTCTGTAAGTACAGGGGCTATCAGGAGTCACTAATGCCTGCAATGCCAGGGCAAACCCAGGTGTGAGGCCCAAGCACTGCAGGCACAGCAGCTGCCTTTTCCTTGGCTGGTACTGCCCAGTTACTGGCAGAGTGAAAAAACCAGGAGTCCAGGATGGGCCCTTTTGGATAAACTTGGTATTTTTTACCTGGAATATTATGGCTTTTCTGTTTCAAAGGGGCAACTGTTTTGTGGGTGTTTTAATKATCATATTTACACATTTAATTGAAACAACTTAAGAAGTGTCTAATATTCTAATTCTAAGAATTCCAAATACTCTGAGAAAGATGTTTTTCACCTTGCTTGAATCTGCAGCTCCCTAAAATTTTCTAGGAAATGTGCAAAGKCCTTAAAAAGTTCCGTTGCTGTTTGTATTGTCTCACGTGTGTTTCTTAGCAGCCTCTCACAAATAGGGCACCARATAAACAGCATTCAGAATTCAGACTCAAACCTATAGAGTAAACAGATCTCAGACTGTCTCCCTAAATCTCTTTGGAAGAGCTTTACTCGATTTTTCAATGAGTCTGTGTGATAAACATGGTGATGTGCATGCATGTTGTCTGTACAGCTTCATAGGTATAGATTGCTTTGCTTTGAGTTCTTATTTGTTACAGAGGCATTAATATACTAAGTGCAATCACAGAAAKAAAATTGTTTATTTGTCCCCTTTGTACAGCACTCTGATACCACATTGTGCTTTTGACCTACAGCTTGCTGCAAATAATGTTGTTTTCAGCAGAGAGTTATCAAATAAGCTGTAAGCATAAACTTGTTCTCCAAAATCAAGAATCTATTACACAAGCAAATTTAAAGGAGGAAGGAAAAAAAGTCTAAAGCAGCCTTTCTTATATTTGTGTCCAGTAGAGTTTTCATTCAAAACCTGAGATAGGATCTGAGCTGCATTGTTATYCATGGCTGTGGTTGCTTTGATTGCTGGTATTACATGACCATACCTCTGACAACCACCAAG